TTCCCTAAACACCTGATACTGGTCACTGTCATCCAGGAGGCTTAGATGCAGCAATGATTGCATCCGTGTGATTGTTCTTGTTTTCTGCTAGTCTTGTATTTAGTTATTTGCAGATAATTCAGGCCAACCAGCAAAGCCTTTGAAAAGCAACTAACAGAAGCTATTGAAAATAATAATAATATCTTTTTTTCAAGAAAATCAAGAGCAGGAGGCCTGCCAGAGAGTTTGTAGGGCCTGTAGAGGATTGCACTATAAAAAGAGACCTTGGGGAAGATAAGACCATATCCAATTGAATTCTTTGCCTGTGTGTCCAGAAATCAGGTAGGTTGTCATGCTGGGATGCTTCTTTGTGAGGGACTTGGCAGAGGCTGTGTCTGGGATTGACGTGTCTGTCAAAGAAGCACTGGAAGAAATAAGTGAGGGGAAGTGGAGAAAGTCTCTGGGATCAGATATTTACCTAGAGTCCTAACAGGACTCAAGGAGAAAACAGGTGAGCTTGTGGCTGTGGAACAAAGTTTCTCTTCAAACTGCCTTGGTTCAAGAGAAGGGGAGGATGATGCGTAGGGTGCCATGTTTCATGAAGGGTTTCAGAAGAGAGTCAGGCAGAGATGGGCTCAGAGTACCTCTGTGTCTGGCTTGGACAAATCCGTAGAAGCACTACTGAAGGGTAGATGCACTGGGCACATGGAGAAACAGGACATGGGTTTTGCGAAGAGGAGCCAGCAGGCACTTGGATATGGTTCTTGGGCTGCCATCTTTGCTTGGAAGTCCTTGAGAAGTTCCCTTGCTGCAAACTAAGGGGGGGACTATGCAGCCAGAGGCCCAGTGCAGATTATGAATTGTTTAAAAGAGAGACAAGAAAGGGAATGAGTGGGTGAGGGATTGTCACTGTTGGAGGAGGCGACAGCTGTAGAGTTGTGCATGGAGGTGTGCTGGTAGTGTCTGTGCTGCTGAGGGTGTTCAGAAATGGCTGGGAAGAAGGGACCCTCCAGGAAGGAATGAGATCTTTGGGTTATGATGAATCATCGCACGGAAATGTCAGCTCATTTTTTTGGTAGCAAGCAGAAAAAAAACCCAATGCTAGGATTTGTTAGGGGAAAAATAGGACAAAAATAATTCTGTCACTGTGTGAATATGTGGTGCACTATTAACGTGAATACCATGTGATGTTTCGTTTCTTTCTCTCCAAAAGTATGTACTAGAAGTGAGAAAAGCAAGGGAAAAAAAACGAGGCAGGATGTGCAAAGCTATGGGGTGGGTGTAAGGCAAGGAACAAATATACAGACCCACAGCATTGAAGGATATGATTGTCAGGGGTAAGGCAGAAGTGGGAAAAAAAAAATCTTGAATAGCCTGCAGAAGGTGCTGAAGGAACAATTGTTCATTGTTTTCTCTACTGCAAGAATTAAAGGGCATCAAGTGAAATTAACCAGATGACACATTTAGAAAAAATAAAGGAGGGTTTTTTTCACACTCTCTGCCATAAGATACTGTGAAAACTGTATGGATTCAGAAAGTGACTGGAGATGTTATTAGAAAGAAAAATCTATTGGACCTACGATGTAGACAGATACCACTTCTAGGACAAGAAGTATCTGACAAATTATTGGAAGCTGGAAGGGTTACAGGGAAAAGTAGCATTTCATATGTACCTTTTTCCTTTATTTTTTCCTAGGCACTTGCTTTTGCCAGTTGGGAGGTACTGGCATGTTTGGTCTGACCCAGCATGGATGTGCTCAGAGACTTAAAACTTTGTGAAGTTGTTGACTTCAGCGTTAATTTTCATTCTGATGTACTGGATTGTTGACTTTTTGGGGTCGTTTCAGTCTCTGCGACGCATCTTGTCCGGCTGTGGAAGGACAGGATCCGCTTTTGGAAAGCTTGCTTAGCAGTCAAAGAGAATGAAGAGGTTCATTGATATTTAAATGGAAATACTTAGTTCTTAGTGCTCAGAAGGCAACTCATTCAGAAAAAAGTGTATGCCCTGCAACTTTGAACATAAAAGCACCTGTGTTGGATGAGAGCACTGGTCTGTCAAGCTTAGTTTTATGAATATGTTAATAGCACAGGTTCCTGCAGCACAGGAACAAGTGTTTTTTCCTTTCCCTGGTAAAACTGACCATTTTTTGCCACCCCGTTATTTGACTGAATATTTATCCATGTTGGACCTTTCCTTTTATCACATGGTAACACAGTTTCTTTGAGAGGCTTTGCTGAAAGACTCTGTGAAATATCTTTGGACAACCAAGTGGACTGCAAAAGTACCTCTTTTCTGCCTGCTTCCAGACTCCCTCCAAAACCGTCACCAAATTAGAGAGCCATGACTTCCCTTTACAAAAGCTGTTGATTCTTCTGCAACAGGACCAGTGTATCCCTGTGTTTGTTCCCTGTGTTGTCCAGAATTGTTTCTTCTGATGTGCATGGTGGAGGTGTCAGGGTCACCGATCTGGAGTTCTTCATACCTCCTTTGGACTTCTTTTTAAGAATCAGCATTACGTTTCCCATCTTCCTCCTCTCCGTAGGCAGGCTTAAGTCAGAGCTCCTCCTCACGTTAGTGGTACAGCTGTTTCAGGTTGGAACTCCTTTGGAGCTCTTGGGACAATGTCATCTTGTCCTGTGGCTTTGGTAGGTTTCGTAGTATCTTACTTAATCTCTAATTGTACAGTTAAGCATCACCAGATGCATCACATCATGTATTCATCTGTGTTGCACTCTGGATATGCTGTCACCGGAGAGGCTGATCTGACAAGGTTTTCAAGTGTTTGAAACCTTGAAAGGGACTCACATGGATAACTCATCTTCTTTGCGTGTTGCTGCAGTCTTATAGGATCTCTAATCTTTCTAGCTCTTGCCATCAAGAATCTGACTAGGAGTCATCTGAGGCTTGAGATCAGCTGGTGGCGTCGATTATGGGAGGAGGAATGGTGTAGGTACCTATTTCTGATGAAGCAGGAGGAATTTGTATTGTTCATTTGAGAATCTAAGTGATACCATGCTGAACAAGGAGAACTTTATGTAATTGGTACAGAGAAGCGTGCAGTTGAGTTCTGTTTTGAAGAAGAAAAGCCACAGACAGTACAAGCTTCTACCACCACCATGGCCGCTCTAGGTGAGAGAAGCACCCCTAGGTGCAGCACAGAGAGCTGCTCTTGTGATTTGAGCACTTCTGCTCTCAACAAGTTTCAACCATGGCTCCCAAGTGGTAAAAACTATTCCTTTGGAGAACCTGGGATTCTGAAAGGTTTTTGTTGTCTGCATGAACATGTCACATAGGTCACAGTGGAGTGCGATAATGTTCCCCCAGAACGTCAGGGAGAGGTACCCCTGGATGCAAACATGCTGCTGAATGTTTGAGAGCGTGCAGCACTGCTGTAGTGTAAGTAGCTGAGACACAGAACTGACAAGTCATTGCTGAAAATTAGCCTGACGTAGTGACCAGCATGTAATACTGCTGTGTACCCACGCAGGGACGCTGCCTGTGATGCCACGGGCAGAAGTGGCACAGGGAGGAGCTCAGTTTTTGTGCAGCTTTGTAGAGCATTTAAATCTTCGCAGTGTTGAGCCTCTGACTCTGGCTACTGAATTACACGGAAGCAAGAGTTGGCTTTTCCCCTCCCTTCCTGCCAGCCCGGGTCGCTGCGTTCAGTGTTTCAGCCTGGCTGAGCCAGGGCGACCTGGCTGCTGTGCTTGACACAGAGAGGGATGCACTTCGTTATGCCTGTCTGCACCATGCCAAGGGCAAAGGGCATGTCTTGCACCAACAGTGGTCAGAAGCACTTGTTTTTAAAACCAGTTTTAAAAATTACACACTTGCTTACAATGTGACACCTGAAAATTATTGCTGACTCATAAAATACTTCTTTCTTGTCCTGAAAGTAGCTAAGTTGAACGCGTTTTTGAGCTGTGACTTGATCAGATCAATACCAGCTTCATCATGAGAAGCCTATTTTGGGATTCATCACTAGAAGCCTTGAAATCCTGTGCTGGCATTTCAGGTTTTGTTAAAAGTCCAGTGAGCATTTAACACTTAACTTGACATATCCTGGGAAGGCACAAGTGCTTTAGAAATGGTCTGTTCAGAAAGGCGTTTTTGTTGTGTGTGTTTCCTGACAGTGATACTACTTCCTTGCCCACCCCCCAACATTTTTTGGAAATACAACTTAATGTTTGTAAAATCAATGCTGACAGTCTATTCTTTGTAAATCAGCAGATAAAAAGTATCTGTGAATGTGTAGAATTCATAAGGAGACTCAACTACCAAATACGTAACTGCTGGCAAAATAAGTGATGGAAGAAATTAAGGACCAGAATGTTTTTTTTTGAGATCTACTTGAAAGCCATAAGCCTCTCTGAGGTTCGGATTTTATGTCTAGCTAGGATGTCACTGGCAGTAACACAGTACTGAGCTCTTACAAATGACCCTTGGACAGCAGTAATTAAATAAATACTGTGTATGCACTGGGAGTCTTAATTTTTTTTTTTTCCATAAGGTGAATTTAGAGCCTCCCTCCTGTTTGCTGAGGACCAGGTGCCTATCTTGTAAATTTACGCTGTCTGGACCCAGAAGTAGGACCCTGGTTATGTCCTACGCAAACTGAGTTTGGTCACTGAAATTGCAACTTCTGTTGTGTTGATTTTTTCCTCCAGTGTGATTACCCTGTTTTACCAATGCCTCTTCATCTGTTTGTATTTTCTTATTTTCTAGTATGGTTTCGTCGTATTTGGTTCATCATGGGTACTGTTCAACAGCAACTGCCTTTGCCAGAGTCACAGACACCACAATCCAGGAAGAACAGACCTCAATAAAGAATAGACAAAGTAAGTCTCTCGGGTAGTCATTCCCAAAGTGTGGCCTGCTGGCCACGTGTTATCTTAGAATCATAGAATCATTAAGGTTGGAAAAGACCTCTAAGATCATCGAGTCCAACCATCGACCCAACACCACCATGCCCACTAAACCACGTCCCTAAGCGCCGCATCTACGCGTCTTTTAAATACTTCCAGGGATGGTGACTCAACCACTTCCCTGGGCAGCCTGTTCCAATGTTTAACCACTCTTTCAGTAAAGACATTTTTCCTCACGTCCAATCTAAAACTCCCCTGGCGCAACTTGAGGCCATTTCCTCTCGTCCTTTTGCCAGTTACTTGGGAGAAGAGACCGACCCCCACCTCGCTACAACCTCCTTTCAGGTGGTTGTAGAGAGCAATGAGGTCTCCCCTCAGCCTCCTTTTCTCCAGGCTAAACAACCCCAGTTCCCTCAGCCGCTCCTCAGAAGACTTGTTCTCCAGACCCCTCACCAGCCTCGTTGCCCTTCTCTGGACACGCTCCAGCACCTTGACGTCCTTCTTGTAGTGAGGGGCCCAAAACTGAACACAGTATTCGAGGTGCGGCCTCACCAGTGCCGAGTACAGGGGCACGATCACTTCCCTGCTCCTGCTGGCCACACTATTTCTGATGCAGGCCAGGATGCCATTGGCCTTCTTGGCCGCCTGGGCACACTGCCGGCTCATGTTCAGAGGCTCATCTTCAGGATGCCAGCTCATCTTCAGGACTGTGCAGAGAAAATGAAGTGCTGTGGAAGTAGAAGAGTTATTCCACAACAGTACAAAGCTGTCCACAGCACACTGCTGACTTAGTGTGGCTGCCTGTGGGTCAGTAGAGCTTGGGGACCACAGCTGGGAGCACTTTTCCCATCATCACTGTGTCCCCTCCACCCTCTGCCGTCTTTGCCTGAAGAACTGCTCTATTCTTTTCTTTGTCTATCTGCTCTGAGAAATGACCTGCATGCCTGGCAGTGTTGAATATGCTAAGTTGCCTGATCAACTTGGTTGATTTTCCTCAGTCTTGTTGAAAATGAATGGCTGAATCCTGGAAGAGATGAGGTGACCCTCAGCTCTGAGTCCAGCAGTTTCACACATCAGGCTACACGTAATACCCAGGGCAGAAGGTGCTTTCTTGGAGGTACTGCCAAATTGGTGGAGAAAGGAACTGGTTACCTTGGACTTCACCTGAACTGAGGTCACTGTGCGCCAGAGATCCCTTTGGATTTGGGTTCTTCAATGCAGTCTGTTGCAGCAGGGGCAGTTTCATTGGCATGGTCATAGGGACCCAAACACGTCAATCTATTTTGACTACAGCTCCCAGGGTTAACGAGTCTTCCAGTCCCTTTGCACATTTTGTCTTCAGGTAAATTTTTTGCATACTAAGGGTTTTGCAAATTCACAGCCAACGTGTTTAGCTCACACTAGGTGAAGAATTTGTATTCTGTGTCTGTTTCGGTTACTGCTGTTTCCTCCAGAGTGGTTCATCTCTCCGTTGGTAAGGCTGTAAGTGCTTTTGGTTCCTGCAGAATAAGGCTTTGGGGTTTCCTGTTCTTTTTTTTTTTTAGCTTTTCTATTCATGGGCTCAGACTGCGGAGTCACAGAACATTGGTGTGTTTTCTGCATTCCCCTGGCTGTTGAATACAGGCTGCGTCCCGCTCTGTGCATTTCCCTTCCCTTTGTGAACCGTTTCTCATGTGACTGTTACATATCAGGAGCATCATGCCCCTTTGTAGCTCGCTCTCCATACATTACATACGCTTAGCCAGCATTCAGGTTCATTTCGGGACTCTGCTTAGTACCGAAAATAACTTGTAGTTGCTGCCCGTTAGTGCTGATGGGCTTTGTGCTTTCCAGGTCATGCATCATGTAACGCTGACCCCAGCCAGTGTTCCTGCTGGTGTGGTTTTAATTGGTAAAGCCTTATGGGAGGCACACGAGACAGTGCAGTCTTGCTTGTCTGAAGGACAGGTGACAAGGCAGATGGAGGGAAGGAATATAGAGCTCTAAAGTTGGGGCTTAAATAAAAGGTGTGAGAAAAACACAGATGGGAAAACAAAAAGAGGAGAAAATATAAAAGGCTGTGACATCTGTGAGAGTTGCCAAACAAGGCAAAGAAGAGAGCTGTCAAAAGCAGCGAGACGTGAAAACGGACGTGCCAGTAAGTAGAAGAAACAGAGAGTGAAATGAAGGAGACTCTCAACACACGTTGGTGTGAGCGCCACGTCTTTGGTTTTAGCTTTCAGCTACGATAACAAGCAAACACTGAGAAGTGGGAGCCAAGACAAGTCATTGCAGAGTGTTACTGGGGACTGCTAATGAGGATCGCTGGGCTGGGCTTTCAACTGCTCATGACTTGCGAAAGTCACAGCCTGTTGGTATTAGAGCCTCTGCTTGCAAAGCACCTCACAGGCGATTCAAAACATCCTCTCTGTGCTTTGTGAGGACTCCTGGAAAAACAGAGAGGGAAGTGCAATGCGTTTTTTAGTTTTAAGTACGTTTAGTTTTTAGTTTTAAGTACGCTTAGGGGAAAAAAAAGTGAACCTCTGTAGATCAGCAGCTTCTGTGAGTGTTCAGGGATGGGATCTCAAGTTAAGTCTTGCACTTTTGTCTTCTGACCCACTGAAGGAACATATGTGGGACATGAACACCCAGGATGATAGACGGCTTCTGCCTTGTATCTTTGCACCTCCTAGAAGGGTACAGCTTGTTGAGCTGTTTCTAGCTTAGTCAATAGCTGATTCTTGGAGCTAGCTTACAGGTGCCACATCCTCATTGCAGGTCAGGTTACTTCTCTGGGAATACACTGAGGTGGGACTTGCAGCAACCCAGTTTTGTTGGTATAATTACTTCTACGTAGAGGTAGGGATGTTGGGGAAACAGTACTGAGCTGTGGTTTAAGCCCACGGACCCTCTAAGAATACTCTGCTTATCTGATGCTCAGCCATATGTACGCTTCCAAGCGTGAACCAGCCAGAGGATGTAACCTGGGGGTGACCTAGGGGCTTCCCCTTTGAAATTGTCATTTCCCCAGCAACCTCCTTGCTCCCATCCAGCTGTTGTGTCCTGCTTTCTTTTCCATTGCTGCATAGCTCTGTGACTGAAGGACTGAAGTCGCAGAGCACCCCACCCCAGCGCACCCACTTCACCTTTCAGATCCTTCTACTCTTGGTGTTTCTGAGCCACTAACAGATTCTCCCTCATTTTCACAGGCTTTTCCTCATCCTAATCCATAATAAACAGAATGTCATCCCCAGTTCTCCCTAGCCCTTGTGCAAGGTGGTAGTGGGGAGCTGTGTGGCATGTGTGAGAGGACTCTTCTGGCCATTCTTGTTGGCCGGTCCTGTGTGTCAATAGGTATCCTTTTGCTTTCAGGAATACAGAAGCTAGTATTAGCAGGCAGAGTGGGAGAGGCTATAGAAGCCACCCAGCAGCTCTATCCTGGCCTCCTAGAACATAACCCCAACCTGCTCTTCATGTTAAAGTAAGTATGAATAGCTTTATACTCCCTAATGCTGAAATGTGTAGATGAAGGGGAGAAGAAAGAGGCTGTCCAGCCACCCAGTTTGGCTGTGCACCTTGGTCTGAATTCAAACTCTTTGAGATCCCTTTGGGAGCAGGTGGGAGAGGACATAGGTTCAGTCCTTTGCACAGTACTTGTAGCAATATAGACGTAGCCCTTTGGTTGCTGCTCAGACCCAGTATGGCTTTGCCTCATGAGGTCGGGCAGAGGTGGGTCTTCCCAGCCTCCTGAGTTGTGTAAGGACAGTTCCCAGTAAAGCTAAATGGGGAATTGTCCTCACTGTCACTGTGGATATTGCATTTTTTAGCCGTCCTTGTCTATTTTCCATTGGCCACCAGTATTTCTATGTTGTTGGAGTAGTGGGGGAACTATGATGTTGGGCAGATTTAGTATCTTCTCCCTGAAAAAAAGCCCCACAATTCAATTTTGGAGTACCTGCAGAGGTGGTGGAGATGAAAGCATGCTGTAAAGGAACAGTTTCTTCTTCGCGCAATGGAAATCAACTTGCTTTTTGGGAGTGTCTCAATGTTCATTAGCGTCAAAGTTGCAGTTTCTGAACTCCTTCCTCCCATAGCATTATCGGAGCACTTGCAATACAAAGGTACCAGGAGTCTGAAATGTCTTTTTCAAAGCCAAGAAATTTAACTCCTATGCAGTTTCTAGGACTTCTTCACTCAGTAACAAAGGAAACCTCAATGCAGAGCATCCTGGCTGTCACGCACCCTTTTCTCCTTCTTCCCTCCTATGAAATCAGGTGTCGGCAGTTTGTGGAGATGGTGAATGGGACAGACAGTGAAGTACGTTGTTTCAGTGCCCGCAGCCCCAGATCCCAGGACAGTTACCCCGGGTCCCCCAGCTTAAGTCCTAGGCATGGATCAAGCAACTCACACGTTCATAGTACTGGTAAGTGTGTTTTCTGTGTCTCCTGGTGAGAAGAGCAAATGTTGAAGGTCGACTGCTGTCCATTACCTGCTACTTTCTGTACATTATTCTAGGAAATGCTCCTTTCCTTTCTGATACCCAGCTGAGAGGACATGCTGTTGTTGTGAGTGTCTCTATACTGTTAGAAAATTGGTTTTGCATTATTTATTTTCCACAGACAATTGTCTGCAGAGCAGATTTTTTTCAGAATAAAGAAGCTTTTGAAGGTGGCCTTCTAGTGCAGCCGCTAAGTGACTCAGTGTTTCACTGACCGAGCTGTAAGAGGAGGTCTGGAAAACAAAGCCTGTTCCCTGTACCTTGGAGTCTGCAAAAGAATTGCTTTCCAGTAGGGACCAAGCAGAAGATGCACTGTTCTGGCCAGTTGAGTGAAAGGTTAGGGGGATGCCTTGAATGAGAGCTTCTCTTTCTCCCATGGTCTCTACCTTGCAAGCTCTAAACATGTGAGAAGGGAACAGTTCTGTGCCTGCAAAACCCATCTCTGAGGCATCAACTCTTTGCAGTTTGGGAAATGAAACTTTAGGATTTGAAGTGGAAAGAACAAAATAAACCAGGACACCCAGGCTAGGTAATTCCCTAGGTAATTATTGTCTACAGCTTTGAAGATGGAGTGGGCCAGGGAGTATGACCTGCAGAGCCCCTGAAAACAATCTGAGCTGCTTCACCGAGCCTTGAGCTGCTCACAGCCATCTGAGTGTATTTTGTTTCATGGACAGGCAAGCATTTAAGGGAAAGGAAGACAATTACTTGAATGCCTCCAAGCTGTCACTCGCCTTCCCAAGCCAGTGTCTGTTTTCCTGTATTGTGTTGCGAGAAACCGTGGGTCTGTTTCTCTGACTAGGTAGTCAGAATGATCCCATCAGTCCATAAAAGCTCTTGGTAATACCTGTTTTCAACCGGGTGATGCCTACGTAATAAAAATCTGCAAGGCAAGGCAGCTTTCATATATATTTGTCTCCATACACGGGACACCACCTTCCACAGTTCTCTCTGTCAGATGTTAGCGCTTTCAAAATAGTGATAATTTCATCAGTCGTGTTTCAAAGGTTAAGCAGAACTGTTGTGCACAGTCTACTGCGTCTTTGTCATTAAAATGCACAAAACGGCCTTTTGTTTGAATCTTTGTGTTGTCGTGATAAAAATATAAATAAATTCCCTAGCTATAAATATAATTGTGGGATCAGCTGATGAATTTGGATATACCACCGTCATTTCTGGAGGAACAACCATGCCAGGTCACATCATCTAGTCAAGATCCTGTGGTCAATATTGGTTGCCTAGGAAGAAGGCAAGCCATAGTGAGGTTTTTCCAAAACGTTATTTGAGCCCCTAATGATTTGCAGTTGTCTTGGTATTAAATAGCCCCTGCAAGTTTAGCCAGTGATTTCTGAATCCATATAAAACTTCTGGTAATGACCAAAGGTTTGTGTCCTGTGTCAGCAAGTTCCACAGCTTGATAGGCACCTTCTGGGGGGGAGGGGATGAGATTTCAAGCCTGACTCTCCTTTTGGTGATGTGAGCTCATTTTTGGAACTTCCTTAAGCTCAGATGTTGCTGGTGAACAGTGGGGTTCCTTCCATATTCATTTGTGTTTTCTCTAAACCCTACTGAATTTAAGAGTGATGAATAATGATTTAAGATCTGCAGTATAATTTTGCTTTCTTCCTTTGGGGTCTGCTTCTCTTGCTAAATCATTGACTTCACAATAGAGTGATATTGTCAGTCTGGTCTCATTTTTTCCCTTTCTTTTCAACTTTCAGGAGCAGATAGTCCAACCTGTAGCAATGGAGTCATGTCCACAAAAAGCAAACAGAGTCACAGTAAATACCCGACACTGAGTTCATCATCTTCATCTTCCTCCTCCTCCTCCCCCTCATCTGTGAACTACTCTGAGTCCAATTCTACAGATTCTACCAAATCTCAGCAGCACAGTAGTACGAGTAACCAAGAAACCAGGTATTTATTTTTTTTCCTTTGTAGATGCCTGAGGAGGGTGAGATGGTGGGAGAGGGCTCAGTCTGCTTTCTGAGGAGCCAGAAGGGCATCTGTCCTGCTCCTTTGAACAACAGAGTAACGATTCGTATCTACAAGGTCACTGCTATTCCCAGCAGACACAGGCCTGTTCCAGTTCCCCTGCTCTGGCTCAGATTTGGAGGCTCATCTATAAGGAATATTATGATGCTCTTGTTTCAAGCACCAAGCTGTCCTATTAAGCTGATGCCATCAGAGCCCAACATGATAGTTTGCATAGAAGCTCTCCCATTGCGCTGCCTCAGCCAGTCGATTACTGCTGCGAAGCAGCTTGCCTGCCTTTTAGTGGGTGAGGCAGCAGCTCAAGGGATTACTGGGTTGGTGCATTGCCCTCTTGAGTAATTTTCTTGGGCTACCTCTACCTGTTGCCCAGTTCCTTCCAGACAAGTCTCTGAATTAGCAAATTAGTAATTTGCTTCATGCCTGTGACAGCATGTCAGACCTTTAGAAAGCCTCCCTCCTCCAAGAAGCCGTAGGCAGTCCAGGAGAGGGGGATAGTTACTGCTGCATTTACTGGAGCGTGGAGCATACTGAGCCATGGTGAGAACTGAGCTTCCTTTGGGCTCACTTTCCAGGTTGGCGTTGCAGGGCTGTCGGAGGCCCCGCTGGAGCAGCAGATATCCTTGTGATTAGTAGAATCTCTTGCTAATTGCAGCTGGCATTCATCCTCTGCATACTGTGCTGAGCACAGTTTGCAGGCCAGTTTGTAGTCTCTATCAAGACCTCTTGAGAGCCACACAGCACGTTACTGAGTGAGAAACACTTGTTCAGACTCAATTTACCAGAATCATTTGATAATGCTGGATTTATGATTCTTTTTATTTAAATGTAGAGCCTCAAGTCCCAGCAAGATTTTCTCATCATTTCGGTCAATCAGCAATCTCATTCAGACTGCTGTCTTGGACATTTAAGCCTAGAGCCCTTGTGTGTTCTGCATTGCACTTTTTGCAAGGGTTGATGGCTTGCCACAGCCAAGATTTCCCTCCTGTTTAGTATGCTAGTGCGTTATCTGTTGTCTGACTGCTGTTCGCTGTTCCAGAGATGGCTGCTTCCTGAAGGGGAGATGATAAGCACTCTGCACCTGCAATTATGACAGGCACTTTTGGAACAGAAACCTGTTTCATAAATTGTCTTCAGAAGCCTGCAACATTTTTTGCTACACTGAATTTGACCATCTGGCTCCCTGTAGTCTAACTGGCACCTTTCCTGGTTTACTGGCTGTTGCTGGGCATCATTTGGCGTCTGAGCTCTTCATTTCTTCCCTTTCTAATTTAGACATCTGACTTTTCTTTCCTCCTTTCACCTCAGTGACAGCGAGATGGAAATGGAGGCTGAGCATTACCCCAATGGAGTCCTGGAAAATTCATCCACCAGGATAATGAATGGCACCTACAAACACGAAGAGATCCTGCAGACGGATGAATCCAGCATGGGTAGGGCCTCAGAGGCAGGAGGGGTAAAGGGAAATGGGAAGAGCTGGTATCGAGAGTTAAAATTGTGATTGGATTGTGGGGAAAAAACATGTACTGTGGGTTTCTTTCCCCACCCCAGTGAATGAAGTTCTCAAGGTGCCTCTTTCACGGGGAGAATCAATCTGTCCTGGAACTAAATCTAGGTCTGGCTTTTCATAGTCTGGCAGCAGTGCTGGTGATGTTGTGGAGCAGGGAAAGCAATAGGAGTCAAAGGTTTGTTGAGTGCTGGTCATGAACTCCAGCTCAGAGCAGTCCTGGCACTTCTTCCAGCTGAGGAACTGAACCGAGCGGTGAAAGGCTGTCTGATGCCCAGCCGCAAAGCGTCCTCAGCACAGCGTGGTCAGCTACAACTGTCTTGTTTGTGGGTGCTTTAGCCAGGAGGGAGAGGAAGAATTAGCTACGCTACCTCTGAAGCTGGGGATTCTTCCAGTTATAATGGGTCTTGTGGCCACCTAATACTGAGAAGTTGGTGGTGTTGGCATCTCTGACTGAAAGTTTTACGAGTCTAGGATTTGTTAGACCAGGGGTTTCTGTGTTGTGTACGCTGTATCACACACGTGAAAGGGTAACACAGCTGGAGTTGCAAGCTCCCATGATTTTATCAGAATACTTGATTTGTAGGTAGTCCTCAGGCATTAAACAAACTGAGCTCAAGTTTGCCCTGTACCTGACAGGTGCTATGAAGAAACCACTACTGGCTGTTGTAGTGCAGCGATCAGAAAAAGCTTCCACTGGCATAAACTTAGAGCAGGGAGTAGCTCCCTGCTCCAGAAGGGGAAGGAGTTTATGGGTAGCATGACACAGAGTGGGCAATGGTACGGAATGAGAAACGATTGTTACTTCTCCACTGCCTTTCCTCTAGAAGACAGCTGTCCCCAGAGGCAGCTCTGTGGAGGGAACCATGCTGCCACGGAGCGAATGATCCAGTTTGGACGGGAGCTGCAGATGCTGAGTGAGCAGCTTTGCAGAGAATATGGGAAGAACACAATGCACAAAAAGATGCTTCAGGTAAGCCTGGGCCTTGTGCTGCATCGCAGCAGTTCTCTGGGCCAGGACTGGGGATGTGGGTTCTCTTGCAGAGCTCTGGGTGGCCCCCACTTCTGCACCTGGTGAGGAAGAGGGGGCCTGCATGGGGATCGGAGGTCGAAACTCAGTGAACATAGAGCATCTAGATCCAGTTCTCGGCACAGGAGAGACACATACGGCTCCTGCCTGCCTTCGCTCTTCTTCTCTCCAGGTGACACTCTACCTGCCTTCCTGTGCTGGCTCCCCTGCCAGGTGGAGGGGGCACCCTCTTTAATCCACTATCTTGATGGCCCAGTGTGGTCCCTTGCTGCCAAGAAGAAAAGGGCCATTTCTTTTCAGGAGGTAGGCACCTGTCACCTTGGCGATGGCAGGAGGTGCCCTGGCTGACGGACTTGGCGGTTTTCCTGTGTGTTTGCAGCCATGCATGACCTTACTGTGCCTTTCTGTTCTCTCACACAGGATGCATTTAGCTTGTTAGCTTACTCAGACCCTTGGAACTGCCCCGTTGGTCAACAGCTGGACCCAATCCAGAGGGAACCTGTGTGTGCTGCTCTTAATAGTGCTATATTGGGTAAGGCCCGGTTCCTGTGTGAGCGCTACCCACTGGACATACCTGCTGTCAAGGGCTGTCCTGTGGCAGGCAAGCCTGTGAGTGTTAGGAAAAGTTCAGAAATACTTGTGTTTAGCTTTTGCTTCCCTTTCTGTTGCTGGGGACTGACAGGGCAGTGATGCAGGAGGGGAGGCAGGACGGAAGCCTGCAGAGAACGGATCCTCCTGATCTGATCTTCTTTTGGCTCCCTTTCTTGCGTCTTCCTCAATGCTGCTTCCAAGGATGCTCCTCGGAATTTTCTTCCCCTGCTTACTGAGGAAGCCAAGATGTCTTCGATGCATTTCCTGCCCCTCTTCCTTCTTGCTCCGAACCCACCTGAATCAGTTCACTGGCACTAGCAGGGCTCTTTTCCATGCTGTTTGGGTTGACAGAGTTTTGTCCTGGCATCATCCTGCTTTCTGGTGGGGAATGCAGTTGCTCCGTTGCAGCAGCTCGTAAGTGAAACCAGTTTCCCTAGTGTTGGCTCTAAAGCAGAGGGAGGCCATAAATCCAGTTACCTTTGTGGTCATGTTGGACACGCAGAGTTAAATGCGTCTGTCTTCCCTTCAAGCATTGCCTCTGCGTGTTCCCATCGTGTGCTATGCCTGCTAGAGCCCAGAGAGCTTGGCCGCCTGCAGTCCGGTGTTGAAATCGGGGCTGTGGTAATGGTCCAGCCCTGTTG